ACTCGCCTGAAAGGAGGTTAAAGCCGCCAAGGGCACCAGGGCCCATGCATGCCCCCCCCTCTCGCAGCCATGAAGGGCGGCCCTGGGGCTTGCACTTGTTGAAAAAGTACATTTCCAAGTAAGAAAGAGCGTTTCTCCCCAGTAGCGTTGAAAGCTGGCTGCAAAAGGCAAGGCTAAGAGCTTTCCTCTTAATGCTCTTTCCGCTCATCCCGCTCTTCAGGTTGCCCAACTTCTTCTTCAAGTGAAAAGCTTTCACTTTTGCCTGTCTTTGCTTGACAAAGTCAGGCGTCGGGTTGGCCGTGGCATGGCGGTCGAACGAGGTAGTGAACAAATCTTTCGGCTTCGTCACCTTCAGAAGCTTGTCGAGCACTTCAAGCACTTGCGCCTTTGTCAGCTTCTCTTCACCGTTGCGCTTGTGCACAGCTTTGCACTCGCGTAGGAAGTGCTGGGTAAATTTCTTGCTGTTGAATAAAGAAAGAGCTGCTGCGCAAGTGGGTTCTGCCTGCTCTCCTGACATTCTACATTCTCAGCCAAGCCCCAACCCCTTTTACATTCTTGACCCTTAGATATGCTGGGGCTCATTTCAAAAGTCACCAAAAAAGTCACCAAGCTAAGCCAGCCGAGAGTCTAGAACTGACGAGCGCAAGACAATCCAAAACCAACCTAGTCTGCGGATCGCTCTCTTCATCATTGATTTTGCAGCGGCTCAATACGTGGCCTGCGTCAACGCTTTTCTCCTTCGGGTCCAGCTCGGTTCCATCGCCCGCCAGCTTGTGAACTTTGAAGGACAAAGGCTGCAAGAGCTCCCCGCACTTTTTGTAAAAGCCCTTCTGTTGCTCACGGTCAAGGCCAGAAGAAGCGCAGGCCCGGCGAGCCAGCAAAATGCCGGCAACTCCCTTCAGTTCGGAGACTCTGTACGACATTGCCTTGGATGATGCGCCATTGGAAATGCTGCTTAAACTTGAGGTGTTGCACCCGGGTGGCAGTGCGGTGGCTGCCTGGTAATTTTGCAAGTAGTTCACAGTGGCATGTGCCTTGCTGACAGGGTAGCAGACCACACGATATAAACCTGGAATTTGCTTCAACCGATTCAACCCCTGTTAACAACAAACGGTCGGGCATGGTCCTGTCTTGTTGACATTTTTTCGCTTCAAGCAGTCCCGGCTCCGAGCTTGAAGCTGCTCCGCGTCACCAGCTCCGCTCTACCAGCTCCGCTCCCAATGAAAGAGGGCTGAGGGGCTACCGCGTGAACCCTGTGTTGGCTGAGGCTGGCAGTGTCTTTTAGGCGGGGGCCTTGCGTTTCCAGTTTCCAGCCTAATGGTTTTGTTGTTTCTGTCGCTGTAGTCGCATGGCGCTGTTTCTACTGGCTCCCTTCCTTCCATCCTGCCTTCCTTCTTGCCTTCCTTTTTTTCGATTCTTTCTTTATTGTTTATTTCTTGTTTTCTTTTCTGTACTTTTCTTTTCTTTCTGTATGATATTTTCTGTTCTTTGTTTTGCTTTTCTTTTTCTTTTCTTTTCTTTCTCGCTCTCTCTCTCTCTCTCTCGTCCTGGCTGCTCGCATGTTTGTTGGCTAGAAGCATTTAATTAGATGTGATTACGCCATCTGTTCAACATATAGACAAGCCCTGGTTTCAAGCTTCACTCAGCAAAGAATTAGACAATCACCCAACGCACTTACCAGCAAACCACAAAAACAGCATGTCCGCCTTTGTTGGAGTCAAAAAGGTGGGCACTCTGCGTTTCGCTGACCAAAAATGCAGCAAAAACGTTTAACGCAATCTATTTGGATGCCTGTGTCAAGCCACAACCTCCAGGCTGAGAAAGAAACTTCATGTTCTTTACTGCCAAGGGGCAGCCACGACACAAGCAGAAAAGAATTTGTCAACTGCTCATGTTGCTCGACATGGAGAGGTGGCCAGAAGAGAAATCCTTTTATGGTGGAGTGCTGGAGTTGATATCTGATTCATTCCCATTTTGTTGAACTGAGTCAGGGTTTTGAACCTTGCTAGACTCGGAATTGAGACGCGCATCTTCGTGTTCGCAGTCGGAGATTGGCAGTGAGCGCCCGTCGGAAAATGTCTGAGACTTTCAGAAATCTGCGGGAAGCCATGCAAAGGTGTTCTCGTCCACCCTTCTTCTCAACCCCTGACTTCATGCACTATTACCAGCTATAGGCTGTACTTTGGAGATGATGCATGAACACCCTAGCAAAAAGTTAAAGTTCCTAACAGCCCTGCAACAGCCAGGCAAGTCAAAAATGAAAATTTGAGTTTATCTATTTGAGCAAGAACCATGACAGCGCGTCTTGTGACCTGCCTCTGCTCAGGTGCTGCGTCATCAGGCGAGCATCTGCGGGGGTGAGTCCACCCACCTCGCCATGAATCCTCTGGTGCAGAGACACGCCAAGTACAAATATCAACTCGCTGTCACCCTCAGGGCTGCGGCTCACATCCAGCAAGTTGACTATGTAAGGGCAAGAAGCTGCCTGCTCCAAAACGTTGATTTCGCTCACAGCTGCAACTACATCCTTCCGACATTTCCTTACGTATTTGCGGCAAGAAATGCAACTAGTTTTTGGTCGTGCCAAGCTTGAGGAGGAGAAGCTGCCCCCAGGAAAGCCCTCGGCACCCACTCATACGAAACAAAAGAGGGAGAGGGTTGCTATTTTGTTTTATTGCTTATCGTGCGTTTGTGTTGATGGCTTGGTCTGGTGAGTTTGAGTTAGTGCAGGTTGCACTCAAAGTCAACCACCACTACACCTCAAACCAATGGGCCACTTCTGATAAGCATTCATGCAAGCTTATATTGCAATGCACAACGCCAGCAGCAAACACTCCAGCTTGCAGTAAGCACCTGCATGGAGGTGATGGTTTGTTGGTTTACCTTGCAGGCAAAGCTGTCCAACCCTCCCTCTCCAAGCACGCGCACTATTTTGGAGGACCACCATTGCAGGGGGGGATGCTGCAGGGCTGGCAGGTCAGCGTGAAAAGGAAGCGTGAAAAGTGCTGCACCACGAAGAGAGGACTCAAACAATGCTTCCACATGCAGGTTGCATTTTCAAGTGGCGGCCATCTCACAGAACGCCACAAGCGTGGAAAAATCACACCCGATTCTATTAATAGAAGGAAAGAACATGTCCTTTGTTCTAGCTAGCTGGCAGCTGCAAATATATGAACCATCTGAACTGCAACTCCGCCATGTGGTATGAGTGCTGGCGCCTGTTCTGGGCATCCCGGCTCAAGCTTCTTCACCCCGCTAAGCTCCATATCATCGCTGGCTTTTCTAGTGTTTTTTCATTGCCTTTCCGCATACTAGGCTTGTCGTTCAAAATTCCGGATGAGCTGTCTCAAAAAGAGGATCTTTCTCTTTCTGGCGGTGCGTCTTGAGCAATCATCGCAAGGCCAACACTTTGAGAGCGGTCGTCATAAAAAAATGATACCAAAGCACCGGTTTGACATGACATATTCTAATTGTGCTCACTTCCTGACGTGTCTCAGCAACTCGCTGCACTGAATGCTAAAAATCTGTATATACTATATATCCTTTAACATGCGGCCAAGATAGATAAAAGTGCTAAGGGTCTAAGAGTACAGCAAAGGACTGGAAAGATTAGATTGGGAAAAGCCGTGGCGGGACATTCAGACGCGGCGTCTGGCACCCAAAGTGCGACCGTGGGAGGCTTGTTTTGGACCAGAATTAGATTGGGAAAAGCTGTGGCGGGACCAGGTGTTCGGGGCCAAGATGACCGAGACAAATGGACACAAACTTCTTTTTTTCTAGGGATTCAGAGGCGGCGTTAGGCACCCAAAGTGCGACCATGGGAGGCTCGTTTTGGACCAGAATTACTTGGCTGGCCTTTGCTTCCTACCTAAAGGTTTAACCTTTTGTGGGCTTGGGGTTCCTATAAAAGCTTAGCGCAACCTAACTTCAGAAGAAAAAACACCTCCACTCTCCCACACTCCTCACCCCCAGACTCTGAAAGTCACCTTGACGCGTCCCGTTCAAGGCAACCTTTGTCCAAAGGCGGAAGATTGTCCACAGGGCCTTGCCCTTGCGCAAAAATAACAGCAAACCTCCAATTCTGATTGAAAGTGGCTTGCGACTGGCACGCCCGCTTCTTCAAAAACATAAGAAACCAGGACACCAAGTGGATTTTATATAGGGGCTTTTCTCTCAGAAAGTAGCACCAAGACCTAACTTGGAATGTATTAATTCAATTGTTCTCCCACCAGCTCAGCCAGCACGGGCGCCCAAGCGCCAGCGGGGCATGTGCATGAATTTCAAGGTATGAATTTGTTTCCCATCTAAATCCGGCAAGCTTGTGGAAAACAAAATGCGTGGCGGCAGAACCGAAGAACACTCGCCGAACATTCGTCGAACATTCGCCGAACTTAGACGTCTCAGCTACATCGCAGCGCAAACTAAGTGCAGATTTCGCAGGCTATCACTTTCAAGGCTTCGCTAGCCTAGACATGGAACGTGTCTTGGTCTGTTTGTTTTAGGTCCAGGTTTTGTTGGGTTGGCTCGGCGACGGCAAAAAAAAACAAACGAAGGAAAGAGCAACACTAAGCTCAAAGGAGTCTCTCAACATGTTTCATGTCTGCCGATAACAGTCTATATTCGTCGCACACGGCGGCAATGCAAAATACATCTGTCAGAACTGAAACAATAGAAGGTGGCACTAGAAGACTCTAGGAGTGTCAACTCTCAGGGAAAAGAATTTCTTTGTGAGAACTGACACGTTTAAGTAAGTCGCAAAGTCAGCGCGAGCTGAAAGGGCAGCTGTGCCTCTATGCTCGACCACACGCTCGTTGCCTGGAAGTCACACATCAAAGCTGTGGGCTAAATAATCGGCGGCGCTGGGCCGCTAGGCGCTGTCAACAGCAGAAATTCACACCCGAAAAGGCGCACACCAACCTAGAACCAGCACGCAGCACAGATTGTCTTTTTCACCTAGCTAGCACAATCGCTGCGTCACCCCCGCAGCTGAACATCCCATGTCAGGAAGTCCGCTGGACTTCGCTCAAGCGAGAGAACAGTCTCTCCACATTCAGCAAATGGCTAGTCTTGCCTCCTTCCACCTGAACTCTCTCCAGGTGTGGCTGCGAAACTATTTGGTACGAAAGTCGCGGAAAAGCTGGCTTTGCTGGGAACTCTTCTAAGTGTGCATGCAGGCGCTGGCGAGCATTTGCGCCAGCGAATGAAGACACTGCATCAAGCAACACCGTCTGCAACTCTGGGCGGGCAATGGCAAAAGACTCGTGCAAGTACAGGTGAAGGTGGAACTGCAAAGCCGGGGAGAATGCAATGCAGGTACCACCTTTTGTCTTAGTCATGCACCATTGCTTGTCTGCAAGTCGCTTTCCCCACAAACGTGCCAGCAGGCTGCCAGCAGCAAAAAATCCGAGCGAATGTCTTCACACAGCACTACATCCGAGGCGGCAACTTTGGCCGAGCGAGAGAAGCGCCTCCAGTGCGGAACGCGCACTGCTTCATTTGCCGGAAAGATTTGGATGGACTCTGGCAAGGGCTTGGCTAAACTAGCAGTAGGTGCCGGGGCAGGCAATTTGTATAGAAAAACACCACCTTTCGGGCCCACATACGGCACACAGTCGCCGGGAGGCGTGGTCTTTGCTACGGCCACCTGCTTTTCAGCCACATGATCTTGAGCTCTCGAAATTTCAGCGAGGGGGCCGCTTGGCAACAGCCCTTTGCGGTCAGAAGATGAACCTGGTACGCTGTCTTCTGCTGAGCGAAATCGTTTGCCACTGCCTGCCTCACAGCGGGCTAAAGCAACTTCTTTCACAGCAGCAACCATGGGCTGCCAAGAAAGCGCGGATGCAGCAGAGGTGGCCTCCTGTACAACATTTTTGACGGCAGCTGCATGGCTCTTCAGCTCCCCCTGCAAGGTCCTTTTCCTGCTGTCATGGGTTTGCAAGTTGCCCAGCTTCGGCTTCTCTGACGATCGGTCTGCGGAGCCTTCAAGCTTTCGGCTGGGAGCAGGTTTTTCTCCAAAGAAATCCTTGTAGACTTGCTGAGCTCTCAACCCATAGCGACTAGCTTTGAAAAGAACCCCACCACCAACACGACTAGCCGAAGACACAGGCCCCTCAACAAGGTCATCTGGCTGAAATGCCATCCCAACACGTCTCCCCCTCAAACTCTGCAAGTTCAATTTGATAGCTCGTTCTAAATTCCAATTGCAGAGATGCTGAGCTCTCTTCTTGAGCTCCGTTTGAGCAACTTCGCCAAGCCAGCGCTCCACTGTAGCTGTGCCACACTGCAGGCACAAAGCTTTTTCAATGACCTGCACTGCTAGCTGTCGACTTTGCCTAGCTTCCTTCCTCAATTCCGCCAAGGTTTGCACCCAGGCCACCCCGCTTTTCGACTCGAAAGGGCCTCTTTCAGACACTTTGCGGCGCTTGCCTGCTGACGAAGGAGCTGAAGCTGGATTCTCCAAGAACCACCAAGCGCGAGCGAACAAGCCAACTTTGGCACCATCTTCCCCTTGCGAGCCCGCCAGCTGCCTCCTAGGTGTGAAAAGTAGCAACGGCTGTGGTCCAACCTACCTTAATTCTCTCAAACTAGATTTACCTCGCAGGCGGGCGAGTGGCCTTTAAAGACATCTGTTTCAAAGCGGCTGCTTTGAAGTGGTTTTTTCCGGAAAAAACGCCAAAATTTGCTGACACAGTCAAGACACCACAGCTCGTCTTTGGGAATGCCTTCCTGCACAGCTAGAGCATGAACGAGAGTCTTCCTTTGGCTCCAGCTGAGCTCGGCTTCTAAATCTAAGGCAGCAAAGCTGTTGGTGTGCTCGTGGTCCGGGAATTGCGTTTTGAAAAATTTGGCGGCTAAATCATGGATGGCTAGGCTATGGCTCTCCAAATCAGCTCGGTGGGGCTTCGAAAATGCTCCAGCCACCTGCCGGGATCCTTCCCAATAGTGAAGCACACCCGTATCCTGCATGATCTGCAAGGCTTTTTGAGTGAGCGTATCTTTGCCAGCCGCTGCCAGAACGCCGTGCTTCAGAAACATCACGCGCATTGTGTGGACAGCTTCCAACACCTGCTCGGGATGGCAAAAATCTGACAAACTCGCGCGGCCAAAAACATAAGGCGTATTCGACAAAACCCGCCTCCTGCGCTTTAATGATGACAGGCGAGTCAGCCGCATCATCCATGCGCAAGAATTTTTGGAGAATGAGCATGGCATCACCGACCATTGCAGCTTTCACAAGATGCTGCCCACCTTCCCTACAAGTGAGCACCTCCAAAATTCGCCGTGCCCATCTCTGATCGTCAGCGTCGCCAAGCTGAGTGAGCTTGGAAAGGAAACGGAGGATGGAAGGCAAAAGGGCAACGATTTTGATTAGGGGAGCAGAAAGAGAATCGAACCTCTGGGCGGCAAAGCTGAAATTCTTCACGGTCTTGAAGAAACCTTGACCTTCCTCGAGCTGAGCTTTCTGGAACAAGCCGCTGTATTTGCTGGAATTCCTGAGTCAATGTCTGCAAGGGCACCACGCCACTAAGTATTCACAATTACCCAGCACCAACCAAGAAAACCGCTTTTAACCCTGGGCAACCGTCAAACTGTTTAATTGCAAGACACGCGTTGGAAAAATTGTCTGAAGTGAGTTCAAGTCGCTTTAACATCCTCGACAGCGATTGCTGGTCAGTGGTGAACAAGCCCAAGAGACCACCGCACATCTGACTCATCGGCTCCCACAAGGCCTTCATGATTCCCCTTGTTCTGTGGCAGCGATCCCGTGAGATGATGTTGACTCTCGGGAGCAGCTCTTGCTTCAAGGTGGTCAAAGCAGACTGTTCGGCAGGGCCCCCGTCGGCCACAGCAGCCTGTATTGTGGCGCAAACATGGTCCAGCAAATCCTGATCCAACTGATCAAGTGGCCCAGACTCAGGGCCGATCTCTGTCCGACTCGCTTCGTACAGGCTGCGCGGATGATCTGCTTCACTGCTTCGGCCGAAGCATTCGGTTCAGGAGCTTCCCGGACTACCCCGAGCAAGTGCTCGTACACCCCCGTGGAAGGAAGCCAAGGATTATTCTGCAGATTCCGGTAGAACCAACGTGCGGACACCAACATGAGGTTGTCACGAACATCTAGAGCAATGGAGCCTGCAGTTGCCTTAGCTGTGGTCCTACTGCAGCCCTGCCAAAAAAGACCCTGCCCAAAAAAGAACGGCTTCCAAAACCGAAATCTACTCGATCATTGTCAGGGAACCTTTCGCATCACTAAGGCGTCTTGCTCGTACAAAGGCTCGGCCAGACAATAAATCAACTGGCGGCAAACCCGCCGGGACATGTCAGCGCCGCTTTGGGGCAAAGAAGACGTCAAGGCGACTGAGCGCACATAGGCAGCAAAATCAGCGTGAGAATCATGCCGCGAAACAACAGTGCCTGCTAGGTGGAATTTCTCAATCCGTGGGACACTGTCTCCAAGACCAGACACTACACCTGAAGGTTGGGCTGCTTCGCCTGTCAAGCTGGCAGACATCTTGGTCAAAGCCAAAATATGGGAAGTGGACTTAGAGTGCTTGCTGAAGGCAGAAATTCCCAAACTCTCTCGCGAAGTCAGCTCCAAACGAGAAAATGTAGACCCAAACTTGTCGGGCTTGAACTCGCTGCAAACCCAACAGCCAACACCCCACCTTCCCCAACTGAGCGGGGTTACTGCTAGCCAAGACCGCCTTCCACAGGCAGGGTGCTCGAAAGAAAACTTCTCGGACCAAGCTTTGGCTGGGTCTTTGTTCCCTCCTCTGCCACCACGCCGGAGTTCTCCAGCAAAGCCCCTCTCGAAGAAACAGCGGCCGCAATCTGGCTTGTCTCTGCAGGCAGCCCAATGAGTCTGGTCGTTTTCGTACGGGTGGCCAGGCCTCTTGTTGAGAAAAGACACAACTTAAGACAAGGGAATCAAGAATGGACCATTCGAACGCTCACAACCCAAAATCGCAAAAAGTAATTGGATTTTTGCAGGAAAGCTGCCCCGCACCACTGGTAGTCACAGCCAGGCTCATGGGGGAGTTTCGGGCGAAAACGCTTGGCTGCGCCAAGTCTTGCAAAGCGCTGTCCCCCAGATCCTCCGCCATGCGTCTGCGAGCTTGGGAGAAAATCTGAAGAAACACCAAACGTCCCTGGCAAAAATCAAATGGTCATGCCGCTGCTTTTTGTCCGGAAAATGTTTGACCCCTGCTTTGAGCCCCAGCCCTGCTGGAAAGCGAAGAGAAGAGATTTGAACATTATTAAAGGCGAGCTAAAAGACCTCAGGCAACATATGGGCACATCGCCTTACGCGTCAGCGATGTTGCTATCAAAGCGATCGCTTTGAAAAATGACTTGCCAAATTGCGGGCTGCATTGCTATCAAAGCGCTCGCTTTGAACATGACACACAAAATTCAGGCGCCACCAGCAGTCCTTTTTCCTGGCTGGTGGGGCTATTTCCGGGTGGCCGTGTATGGTGCTATTTAGCGACAGCTCCTACGACTCGTCTTCACTCTGGTCAGTGTCGGACGAGGCAGCCCCGGACGGAGAAGCAGCCGGTTTGGCTTCCACCGTGGCAGCTTGTTTGGGCTCGCGCGGCTCAGGCTTTGAAAGCGCCCGCTTTGACAAGAACAATTTACATCTATTTACACGAAGTCCGGCATTTCTTTCGAGTAACGGAGCGTGGCGTCATCGACCAACTGCTGAAACTTCAAATCGTCAGGGTTCCGGTTGAAAGTATCCCGGACCAAATTTGGCATGGTACGGCGCAGATGCGGGAAGAAACTCAGCCGGTCCAATCCAGGTAGAGGCTCAGCAGCCTCCGCAGGTTCGTCTTGGACAAGAGGCATCTCCTATCAAAACCCGGCGTTAGGGGTCTGGTGTTTGGCTCAAGGCATGGGGCCTGGTGAAATGAGATCTGGAGAGATTTGAACTGTTTTGACCCACCCTTCCTCATCTTTAACTTCTTCCGCTGCTTCAGCATCAGCCTCCTCGTCTGCCATCCCCAGATGACAGCCGCAAGGAAAATTGGTTCCTGCATGTTATAGAGACTATGAGGGACTTTTAAATAGGGTGGTTGGATTAAACATCTTTATCTTGAAATGGAACTATTTGCAAATACTTGGACACGTAGGCTTGAGTCGAGCTGCCGCGGTCTCAAAAAGCAACCTCGAAAAAGCATCACGCAGAACGCACCTACTCAACCTCAGCATGACAGGATAGAAATGAAACAGAGGTGTGGCTCTGACCGCGACACTTTGATCTCTTGGCAAGATGCGCTCGTGGAGAAAACAAAATCCGCCTCGGGGTGTGGCGAGGTTGCCATCAGGCTCAACGAATCTAATCTACGAAAAGCAGCAGCTCACTCCTCATCTTCTTTCTCACTGTCGGTCAAAACTTCTCCATCACCGGTTGGATCAGCCTGTTGGCCTGCGCTCGTGGAAGTCTCGAGATCAGGGCCACCAGGAGTCTGCGTGCTCTGGGTCTCGGCGCCCAAAGATGCAGCGCGTGACAAGACACGGATCTTCCGGCCGGGGAATCCGTTATGAGGCTTGCCAGAGAGGATGTCAACTAACTGCGCCAAGACAACCTTGCATGCATACGCTGGGCTTGGATAGTTTTGACAAAGCTTCGGAGAAAAGACATGAAAAGACTGAGGACACGGCCGTTTCCAGAACAAGGTCGCTTTGAAGCTGCTTGTGGGAAAAGCCGATGTACTTGAGGCCGTGACGAGCAGCTGCCACTGCAGCCATGCCAGAGCCAACGCTCAAGTCCACAACTAACATCTTTTTCGTCTCATCTGGCCCAAAGCAATGGAAGAGCTCTGCGTAGATCTCCTCACAAGGCTCCCATGGACACAGGCAAACAACGGCACTGGCATCCTTCTCCTCCTCTTCGTCCTCACCAGACTCCAAGGCATCTGCCGGATCTGCCATGTCTTTCGTGCTTCCCCCTACCCCAGCAAAAATGAGGCTCTTGCTCTGAGAAGTGATGCCATTCAGCTGCTGATCCTCGAGCTTTCTCAAGGATAGATTTGACCAGCCTCTTGAGTTGTTATCACCTGGCAAATCTACACAAATGCGCTGCCGAAGTGGCAGACACGAAAGCCTCTCCGCGCCTGCAGCCAAAAACACCGTCTCCAAAGGGTCAGGAAGAGTGGCACTGAAAACTGTTTTGCCTTTGCGGGCCCGCGCCCATCCGCTTTGACTGAACTCCCTATTGTGATGCATCAAGCGCAAAGGAACGGCCGAGCGGGAGGGCAAAAGCTTTGCAGCAGAGCCAGGTTTCAATACATGCTTGGTAATGAGGCCTTGTGTCCGGACGCTGCGGCCATCGAACATAGCCAGCATGTCCAACTGCGGACGAAACAAGCCATTCTCAAAAAGACATGCGCCCAATGTCTTGTACATGTTGGCGTCGCCATGCGCCAGCCGACGAAGGCCGTCACTCTTGGAGCTGGCTTTGGGGTCCACCACAAAGAACATCGAATACTCTTTGCCATAGGTGTTGTAGAGCTCCTGGAGTTGCTCCCGCAAGTCGGTGCGAACTTTAAGCTCCAAGCGCTCAGCACCTGGTATTGGACAGTTCCTGACTCCCTGATTTTTTTAAAAAAACAGGGAGTCAGGAATCAAGGTTTGACATGGAGGACCTATAGTGATTCAAGAGATATTAAAGCAATTTAAAGCACGTGGGGAGCCATGGTGTAATCCCTGACTCCCTGATTTTTGAAAAAAAGCAGGGACTCAGGGTTTAAGGCTTGCACACGGGAAGAATCGGTTTTGTGCAATGATGTCCGTTCGCTGACAAACGACATGATGCGCAAGAACTGCTACTTTGGCAAAGTGTTTCCTCTTGCTCGTGCGAATCTGCTGCTGGGACTGTGCAAAATGTCCACACAGCTTGGCAATTACAAGAAAATCTCCTTGACCTACGGAATATTGCGCTTGGCAGCCAAATGCCCAAGCTCCAGCAAAAGGGGAATCAAGGCCACACAAAGCGTTGTGGCGGACATCGAATTTCCTATCAAGCTATGGGCTTGCAAAGTCGTCAGCCCGGAAAAATTATAGTTTGACAGGCCGTGGGCGGCCATAAGCTCTTCCGGCAGCAGCTCCCTGTGCACACTGTCAGCGAATGACCAAATGCGGCTGCTGGTGCAAAGTGTGGGCAAGAAGCCTTCCAAGCACACAGGTCCCCGGTTTGCAGATTGAGAAACCTCAGACGCCCAAGAGAACTGTGTTTTCTTGAGAATCTAAATGTCTCCCTACAATCAGCGTTTATCTATTGCCTCCATACAAAAGAAGGTATGCTGACAAGGAGCATCTGCCAGCGGGTGTGGGCTCACAATTTCTGGGCCAGTTTCGTTCAACAACTTCTGTGTGACTGCGGCGTAAATGTCCAATTGGGCTTTCATCCATGGAGAGCAACTTGGAAAGTGGCTCGACTCCCGAGCTGATGGCAAAATTTCATTCTCACTGAGCGGACCTTTGACTCTTGTGGCTGCCTTCTTCCGAGCTTTTGCCAAAGCAACAGCATAGGCAGCACGGGCCTCATCCTTCTCCAGCTCAGTCATCGCAATGTCCCCTTCAGACTTGATGAAGAAAGGGCTTCTGTCCGGATAGGGAAGAAAGAAACCCTGGACATGGTGCCACGGCTGCTTGGAGCAAAAATTCTTCAAGATCTGAACGTTGGATTCAATGCGAGAGAGAGACCCCTGCCCCAATCTGCTGCCAAAAAAGTACACACGTGGCCGAACATCTGGCAAGCAAGCGCTGTCTAACTCAAAGTGGGCCCAGGTGTACCCCTCAATGGTTTGGAGCTTCTCCATGACGACAGAGAGCACGCTTTCTTTTCCAGCCTGCCTCGGCAATTTGATACCGCAAACATTCTCCAGCAGCACGCAGGCAGGTCGAAACCGGTGAACAAATTGGTGGCAGTGGAGGAAGCTATCCCAGTGCTTGGTCTCGCATGGGTCCACAGCCGACCGGGAGGGGTTTTGACGGCTATTGCTTTTGCAGGAGAAGCCACCACAATAGAGGTCAAATTCAATGTTTGGGATCTTGCACTTGTTTCCGTGCACATAGCAGAAGCTTTGCCCATCTGGACGGAGTTCCGATGCATTCCAAAAGATATGTTGGGGCTTGGCATTTGAGTTCAGCGCAAAGGCCGCGGCTGGATCCAGCTCACAAGCCACTTCCATGATTGAGCCTGTGTCTCCTGCAGCTCACGTCAACCAATGAGCTGTTTCTAGTGGAACCGCTGTCATGTCACTGTGTTTCTGACAACCCATCCTAGAATGTGCTTGGCGACGATGGAAGGCATGCCGCTCCTGGGCGCGAACAACCGGAAACTGTGAAATTGACAATCGGGCACGGTCGGCTTTTGTGCGAACAAGTGGCCCAGAATGAGTGGTTGCCAGGCGCAATGGCTTCAGGCTTGTTGGGATCATCACATCCAGCGCTTGGAGCAAAGCCACAATGAACTTTCTCAAACAAAACTTCTCCAAAACAACAGGCCACGACTGCTTGTTGGGTTTAGCCTTGGCTTTGGGTGTCTTGGCAGTCGGCCTCTTGATGACCTGCCTCTTAGGCGCCATTCGAAAAGCAAATCGCGGCGTGCGAAGCAAGACGGGCCGGCAAAATAGTTCCACTCGCAACCCCTGTGTTAGAACAATTGAGCCACCACAGCAAGAAGTGGGCTTAAGATTAACATGCAATGGGTGACTGGCCACGCACATGGTCTAAGGCCTGCACATAGCTTGGCATGTTGAAGAGTGTTCTCGAAAGTTGGCAAAGAAACTTTCTTGAAAAGGTCCTCCGCCCAGGATGGCACTTGAGCCACCTCAAAAAAAGACTTGCGCGGTGTCTCCGATTTAGAAGGCTCCGGCGCAATCTCCTCACGCACTCCCTCCGGGACTTCGTCCTTAACCTCAGCTGACTCCTTGTCCGGGTCTGGCACAGAAATTGCTGCATCAACTTCGGCTTTCTGGGCCTCTCGCGATGCCTTTTCAGCCAGCTCATCCGATTCCTTGAGCAATTCATCGAGGTCTAGCAGCTGGTTTTCAACCCAGCCTGGCTTGCGGAGAATGATTTCAGCAGGCTGCAGCCAGTTTTCTTCAATGGCTTCACGCACTAGCTCATGGATGATGACCTGCCCCTCCAAGGCTTGTCTACAAAATGCTGCGGCTTCCATCTCTGCTGCAGTACATTTCTCAAGAAAGGGCTTCCGCGCAGCTTCATCGGCATTGTACTTGAAAAAATTCTCGTATGTGCCAAAGTAATCACAAAGCCTCACCTTGGCCCCTTTCTTTTGCGCGACCTTGTTGGACAGGTACTTCACAACGCGCCGTAAGGCGAGCTCAATCTGCAATTGGCTAGCGACAGTTTCCTCAGCGCTGCTTTCAGTGCGTGGCCCAAGTCATGCATGAGTTCTGGGAAGATTTTTCCAACATATAAATTAAACATAGATATATTCAACAAATTTCAGAAGGCGTACATTTAGCCAAATGTCTCTGGTTGCATTCGGTGGCAAGTGTGTGTGGCGGCCATCATTCTCACGGAGAGCACGGTAGCAAATCGATTGCACAACCCAACAAAGCAAACAATTCTGCAGAAGCTCGTTCTTTGGACAGGCTGTTTTCTCACAAAGGACTGCCAAAACACTGGTATTGCTCATGAAATGCTCCGCACCAAAGCGCGAATCCATTTGCTCGATGCTCTCCAAACAGGGAGAGCCAGCGGCAACCATCCGATCGTGCACCCTCAAGAGATTGCTCAAATTCTTCGCGCTCACCTGCACATTGGCCTTGTGCAGCCATGCAGAAATGGCCTCAGGATTGTGAGGCAGCATTTGCGCCTTCAACGACTCACGGATCTCGGCATATCCCAGGATTCGCTTGAATCCTCTCAGGGTTTGCGCTCCGGCAATGTTCTGGGTCTGCTGCTCCAAAGACCATTTCTTTTTGGCGGCATCATCTGCTGAGTCAACGGCATGAAACGTGACCCTGACACGCCGGAGAGCATTCCGACACTTGGAAATCTCTGGCGCATTCTTTGCCTCGATTTGGTCGGCAAAATACTTGAGGAAACCAAACCAAAGAGCTTCATTTGCCAAGGTTGTGACATTTCCCTTCCGAGGTTTGCCAGAGATGACTTGCACATCCACAGGTTGCGGCCACTGAAGCACATGAGACGCCTGAGACCTTTGGCAAAAATCAGCGGCCATTCTTTGAATTTGGCCCACACTTGGGGGAAAAGTGTGTGCATAGCAATGGTGCTTGAAAAAGTCTCCCTGAATGGTGCATTCGTACCGTCCTGCGTTCTTGCAACAGGCAACAAATTCCTCTGCATCGTAAGCCGAAATGCCACCAAAGCTGATGCCCTCCTCTATGGATTTCAAGAAGGGGTCAACTGCCTTGTACACGTCCTGAAGCAAAACACAGGAATTAAATTCAATCTGGGATGGATTTCAATCAAGGCTGAGGTGTCCTGCATCATCATAACGGTAGGATGGGAGGGCGTGCTGGCATCAGGCCCTTTCCCCACAAAGCGTTTGTTCGGCGATGTCAAGGAGGTATCCCCTGCTCTTTTGGTGGGCGGCATGCTCGAGACAAACCCTGGAAGCGATCAAGGCTTGAGCCTGGCTAGAAACTCAGCTGAAAAACTCATCTGGACCAATGCGGTTTCCCAAAAGCATTGCAAGTGAAGAGGACTGCATCTGCCATCACGCTAGGCATTTTTCTCCAAAAGTTACTTGCTAGATTGTTTCTGAAGCCCTTTAGCCCAGGACGGACAATGCGGCCAGCCACACAGCTAAAAAGACGGGCATCGTGGTTGCTGTGGCCTCAGAAAGCAAAAGGCACCGGCTTGAATGTCTGGTTTTCAGGGGTGGTCCAAGCAAAGTGGCACCAATCTTACCTTGAGGTTGCGGCCAGGGCTTGAGCTTGGTTCTTCTCCGTCAAAAACGATGTGCAAATAGATTTCCGTGGAAATCCATAAGCGCACAGAATCTCTTGCGACAAAAGCCACCGAAGTGAAAAGCGTTTCTGTCCCCCAAACCCTTTGCCGACCATGATCTGCGACGAAGGTTTCAGCTGTGGCAAACACGGCTGAGGCTGGCATGTGGGAAGGGTTCCTGCATCTAGGAAAAGAAGTTGCTGGTCACGCGTTTCCTCGCGAAAATGTTCTCCAAACAAAGCTGCAGCTGCGAGGGCAGCCATGGGTTTGTGAGCCTTGCTCAATAGTGAGTCTATGTTGTCTGGAAAATATGCGTTTTCTTGCTTCCATGTGCTCGGCAACAATTTACCAACCATGCGACTGCACCCGTCAATGCCAGCTTCCGACAAAGCGACTCTTGCCTCTGAGGGAGGGTCGTAGGTTCGCTTACGGTCTGCCTGCCAAGAAAAGGGTGAATGATTTTTTGACAATTCCTGACTCCCTGATTTTTTAAAAAAATCGGGGAGTCAGGATTTAAGGTTTTGACTCACGTGAACATATTAAATGGCATTTAGTAACTTAGTAGTTCATGGCAATTCTTGACGGCATGATTTTGAACTTAGCACATGGAAAGCATTTGGGACTGACTGCTGAAATCAAATCTGGCCAGGCCTGTGTGAAGACAAACCAATGTGGCTTGCCAGTGTGCTGCTGCACTTGCTCCAAAATACGAGAAACCAAACTCGAAATTTTATGGCTTTGTTCTTGCTTTTCGGTCGGCATCAGCACAAGCCAACGCTTTGAATTGCCAATGGCCACATGCTGGATGGGGAAAAATGGCAAGGTTGACACAGCATAACCCTCAACAGCAACTCGAGCTGAAATTTCCTTGGTGATATCGTCCACCAGCCCGCACTCCACCAAGGCAAACCTGGCGCGGTCAACAAGCAAGAACCTTACATAGCATGGATGCTCTACCCGCCTAGGCTTGAAAGCTTTCAAGTGTTGACCAATCTTTTCCAGAATCGCCTCGGTGCCTGATTTTGGCCCTGCCAAATGAAACAGTGCAGCGGTGATGTCTCCAGGAATTTTGCAAGATTTGTGGCAAAGCAGGCAATGTGAATGGCTCCTATCGCCCTCCAGAAGGTTCACATACGAATGGCAATTGCCTGGCTGACTGGAGCCTGCGCAAACTCTGGTTAACTCTGCGCTGGCTTGGGTTTCAAAGTAGGCAAAAGGCACAAGGTCAGAGCTGCGAACTGCCATGAACGGAGAAAAGCTTTTCAGATTGAAGCCGATCACATTGGCCGCGTCCTGCCCATCACAAAGGAAAATCAAAGACACTAAAAAGAACCATGAGCTGAATGTCCTGCACGGGCGGCCATTCGAGCACCTTCTTAGCGCTTTCCAAGGTCAGGGCCACAAGATCCATGCTGCGTGGCAAATAGTGAAGACTTCACGCTTTGAGCTTGGCAAGTCTGCAAGAATCAGTTGGGCGAAGAAGCTATATACCACTCGCAGAAATCAAACGCACAACTGCGATACCTAAATTTAACTTCGGTTGTGCGTTGACCCCCAGGGGTCAACGCACAACATATCCAGGAACGGCTTGCAAGCTTCAAGTTTCTTCAAACGCACAACTCTGTTAGCAAGCAGGTTTTCGTCTACGTGGCTGATTCGTGGATATGTTGTGCGTCGACCCCGGGGGGTCAACGCACAAGCAAAGGCACACCTTTTTAACTTACTTGTGCGCTTGGTTTTTGCGGAGTCCCTGGGGTCAACGCGCAAGCCCGGGGGTCAACGCAGAATCAAAGGCATTCGAAATGATGAACAAGCATTCGGACTTCTTCTTGCCGTCTGACACCATCGCCCATCAACTCAAAAACAATTTCACCAGGCTTCCTCACGGATCACGCAGACTTGCTTGCAAACCACAAACACCTTGGCACGCACACTGCACGTGCGCTACCCCGCAAAATGCCTAGAAACCACAGTGCATAAGAGTTGGAATGCAAAACAACAAAAGGACTGGGCAGATCTTGGACCACTGCAAATGAACAAAACAAATTCGGAACCAACTCAGATTTTTAACTCAGTGCTCAACCACTCAAAGTGGAATGAGAGCTGCTCTGGACCTGGACTGCCTGAGCATTCTTCTGCGCAGGTCGATCCTTCACGCCAGGCGAGACTGAGACTGTCGGTGGATAAGCAAAAACCAACACGCGCTGATCAGATTTTGGTCGGTCCTTTGTCTTGAACATCTGAA